GTGGTCTGCCTGATGTTGGGGGGGCAGGTTGAAGGGAGGTGGTCTGCCTGATGTTGGGGGGGCAAGTTGAAGGGAGGTGACCTGCCTGATGTTGGGGGGCAGGTTGAAGGGAGGTGGTCTGCCTCATGTTGGGGGGCAGGTTGAAGGGAGGTGACCTGCCTCATGTTGGGGGGCAACATCGGTTGTGACAAAGGCGTGGACTAGTTTCTCATGGTCGGGTCTGGACAACACTGTCTTGAGTTTAGCTACCTGTCTGAGTTGGAAGAAGCTTTTCTGCAGAACAGTTGATTTGTTTGTCAAACTTGAAGTCAGAGTCTAAAACCCTCCCGAGATTTTTACCAGACTGCTTCAGATATGGCTGAAGAGAGTCCAGGTTGACAGGATCAGTGGCGGCAGTCGAGCTAGTGCTAAAAACAATGACTTCAGTCTTCTCATCGTTAAAACTTAAGAAATTTGAAGCCATCCAGGCCTTAATGTCGTCCAGACATTTTAACAGAGGGTGAATGGAGCAAACGCTTGCTGGTTTCACAGGCAGGTAGATCTGACAGTCATCAGCATAGCAATGGAATGAAAGACCATGTTTCCTCAGGATTGACCGCAGAGGGAGCAAATAAAGTGAGAACAGAAGGGGTCCAAGAATTGAACCCTGTGGGACCCCGCAAGAAAGAGGTAATGAGGCGGATACATTGTTACCAACCTTGACACAGAAACTCCTGACACTCAGGTATGAGCGGAACCATTCTAATGCAGCACCTGTGATCCCAACCCACTGTTCCAGCCGTGATATAAGGATACTGTGGTCAACAGGATCAAAAGCAGCAGTAAGGTCCAGGAGCACAAGTACCACAAATAGACCAGAATCATTTGAGATCATAATGTCGTTACAAACCCTTACTAATGCTGTTTCAGTGTGTTTCAGAGTGCTTCAGTGTGTTTATTAATTAATTTAACCTTTATTTCAACAGGTAAATCCCACTGAGCCTCAGGGACTCATTTACAAGAGACCTGATTTTAACAAAGAATGATGACAACAATGGACAATCATAAAAGAGGCATACAGATTTATTTTTTATTTTTTTTTTACAAATTAAAACAAGAAAGCAAAAAAAGTAACAAAAAACAGCTAGATTCTAAGGCGAATGTATAAAACTAAAAACAGGAACATGTCTGCATTGGTCCCTGCCAGGAGTCCAACATATTCTTAAAGTCACTTAGAGAGGTCAAAGGTCGAGAGCTTCAGATCTTTTTACAAGATATTCCAGGAAACAGGAGCGGAGTAGGAGAAGGTCCTTTTGTCTAGTTCAGTCCTCACTGAGGGAACACTGCAGGTAATGATGTCCTGAGAGCGCACGCTGTAACTGCACTCACACAGAGACATGTAGGAGGAGATGTATGAAGGCAGCAGACCAGGAAGTGATTTAAAGATGAAAATGTACCAGTGGGAGAGTCTGTGTGAAGTTAATGGTGACCAGTTAACCAGTGAATACTGGGTGCAGTGGTGGGTACGATAGTTACAGCCAGTTATGAATCTTAGTGCACCATGATAGACAGCATCCAACATCTGCAGCATCCAACATCTGCAGGGTTCTTGTAGGAGCGTTCATGTAGATAATGTCAGTGTAATCAATGGAGGGAAGGAAAGTCACAGATACAAGGCGTTCCTCAGGGTTCAGGGTTAGACAGGATCTGTTTCTGAAAAAGAAACCCAGTTTAACTTTCAGTTTCTTTACCAAGTTTTCCACATGGAGCTTAAAAGAGAGATGTGAGTCGACCAAGATACACAAATATTTGTAGGAATCAACAAACTCAATGGGGACACCATTTGAGGATAAAATAGGAGGAAGAACTGCTGGGACCAACTTCCTGTTTGAAACAAGCATCCCTGTGGTTTTGTCTGAGTTTAAGACCAGTTTGAGGTGGAACAAGTCTGACTGGATGATGTTGAAAGAAGACGACAAAAGCTGGAAAACCTTAGGAACCGTTTTGCCTCGATAGTCTTAAGATTTTATTGTACCCTGCAGATCCTGGACTCCCTGACCCAGATAAAACACAGAACAGAACCAGGACTCATGTTCTGCTGTAGGTTGTGTTGTCATATTTTAGGGTCTGTGGAGAGCTGATGGTCTTTTTGTCAAAAAGCTCCAGTTTTGTCTCATCTGTCCAAAGGCCATATCCTCCCAGAAGATTTGGCCCTTCTCAGTGTGTGTCAAATTCCAGTCTTGGTTTTTGACCCTGGTGTCCTCCTCGGCCGTCTTCCATGAAGTCCACTTTGTTTCAGAGAGACTGACTCCGAAGACCTTTGACTCGGGAGTTCACCTCTGATCTCCGTGGAAGTTCTTCTGAACTCTTTGGTTTCATTTGTACCATGTCTCTTCAGTTGTCCTCTTGTGGACACGCCCAGGCAGGTTGTCTCCAGTCCTGTGGACCTTCTGAATAATGTGCAGCATCAGAGAAACATGAAGCTGATGGAGACGTTCTGATAGTCTTTACCTTCAACATGCTGTCTGCCATTGTCTCGAAGCTCCTGAGACACTGTCCTCAGCTTCCTGTGCTCCATGTTCAGCGTGTTACACACCATGATACCAAACATCCCTGTGACTACCTGTCCCCCTTTAAACAGGCAGACTGAGGACTCCTGAGTCAAGGACAAAGATTCTTTGTCATTCTCATATGTGGTACATGTGGTGGAACGAAACTGTGTACACAGGGTCCCAGTTACATCCAACAACAGTATACAATGTAAAAGAAAACAATAATAACATCCAAGATATGAATTAAGAAATATACTAAACTAAGAATACACTAAGAACCAGTAGCATAAAACAATACACTGAACAGCAGCACAAACATGAGTCTGTGTGAGCAGATGAGCAGGAATGAACACAGCAACATGAACCAGATCAGCAGCAACATGAACCAGATCAGCAGCAACATGAAACAGATCAGCAGCAACATGAAACAGATCAGCAACAACATGAACCAGATCAGCAACAACATGAAACAGATCAGCAGCAACATGAAACATATCAGCAACAACATGAAACAGATCAGCAACAACATGAAACAGATAAGCAGCAACATGAAACAGATCAGCAGCAACATGCAAAATGAAACAGATCAGCAACATGAAACAGATCAGCAGCAACATGAAACAGATCAGCAGCAACATGAAACAGATCAGCAGCAACATGAAATAGATCAGCAGCAACATGAAACAGATCAGCAGCAACATTAAAAAGATCAGCAGCAACATTAAACAGATCAGCAGCAACATGAAATAGATCAGCAGCAATATTGAAACAGATCAGCAGCAACATGATGTGATTTTTCACAGTGATTATTCTGGTCAGAAATTCATGAGTCTAACAGCCTCAGGGTAGAAGCTGTTCCTCAGTCTAGTGGTTCTACACTTAATGCTCCTCAACCTCCTTCCTGAGGGGAGTGGGGCAAAAAGTGTGTGTGCTGGGTGAGTGTGGTCCTTCATGATGCAGGTGGCCCTCTTCCTGCATCTGGAGGTGTAGATGTCTGTGATGGTGGGGAGACTGACTCCAACATCTTCTGTGCAGCCTTCACCACTCTCTGCAAAGCTTTTCTTTCTGCAGCTGTGCAGCCTCCATGCCACACGTTGATGCTGGAGCACAGGATGCTCTCCACTGTACACCTGTAGAAGGAGGTGAGGACTGAGCTTCCAGACCAGCTCGCCTTAGCCGTCTGAGGAAGTAGTCTCTGATGATCTTTCTTCATCAGGCTGGTGGTGTTGTTGCTCCAGCTGAGGTTGTTGTTCAGGTGTACACCCAAGTTCTTGTAGCTGGAGACCACTTCCACCGCAGATCCTCTTATGTTCAGGGGGGTGTAGATGTTTTTGTGCCTTCTGAAGTCCACGATCATCTCCTTTTTGTCTTCTTCACAGTGAGCAGCAGCTCTCCAGGTGTTCCACCTCCTGCCTGTAGCTGGACTCATCGTTTGTGACGCACCACCGCTGTATCATCTGTCAACGTGTCCAGCCCATGACGAGTCCGTGTCCCTGTGGACAGATGCTCTTTTCTCGAGGCCGGTCGTTTCATCACAAAGACCCGGTTCTAGAGGAACTCATCCCAATCCTCAGACTTTAAATCCTCATAAATGGAGAATAGACTATATGCCACGGGTAGTGGTGACGTACTTCCGTTAAAATT